CTTCCTGGGTTTTTTTTTTTCTTGCCTGCATTCTGGCTGGAATTGTGTTGCCAACGCTTTCTGCACCAGTTACAAGGAACAATCATAAACGTGATTAATGATGACGGCGTCCACCTTGTCTGCCTCGGAAATGCTATCTCCACGAGATTTCTCTGGGATGCACACCGCAGGCTCTGTGACTTCTCCTTCTCTTGGCCCCGTGGTCCTGCCTGAAGTGATGGCATTCGGGCCTGGAGAGGCGGGAGCCAGGTTTCAGCTCATGGCAGCCGACTCAGCTGGTACAACGAGCTGTGCTGAGGCGGCTGCGGGGTGGGGGGTGTCGGTGCCGGTTTCTACCACCCAGGAGCCCGGGGGCAGGGCTGGGAGCTGGCATTTCAGGACCCGGCCTCCTGTCCTGGGAAATGTGGGGCAGTGCTTGACTGCAGCAGAGGTCCTGGGAGGAAGAGCCAAGGAACGGCCCGCAGGAGGGAGGGAGGACAGGAAGAGGCCAGGAATCGTGATGGGGGTGTAGCTAACCTCTGTCAAGCACTTACTCTGTGCTGTGCAGGATGTTGAGTGCTTTCCGCCTGCTATGTATTAGGAGCTGCACAATTTTGAGGTTTGCTGTGATGATTCCCGTTTTGCAGATGAGGAAACCGAGGCTCTGCTCACTAACGTGTGTGAGATAGGAAGTAGCAGAGCCCTGACTTGGCTCTGGGATCTATGCTCTCACCCACTTACCTGGTGATTCTCAGACCCCACCGGGCAGGAGACTCGCCAGGGGGACTTTTACAAAGGTGCCCGGGTCCTGCCCCAGACCCATCAAATTAGAGTCTTGGGGATGGGAGCCATTTGTCAGTAACTTGCTGCCCTCCACCTGCTGGGCCAGGAGGCACAGAGCTGCAGGGACGAGCAGCCAGGCGTGTGGAGAGGAGTGAGGACCTTGGGGTAGGGGACACGCTCTTTCCCAGGGGAGATAAATTCCAGGGGTGCCATTGTCCCTGCTCAGATAGAAGCCACACACTGTCGCTGTGGCTGTCATGGGAGAACTGGGCGGCTAATGAGCTCAAATCAAGCCCCTGCCCCGACATTGTATGTTGACATGAAACAGAGGTTCAAGGCTATTTCTTCATTCTCTAAGTGTTTGCTGAGCACCTCGTATGCAGAAGATCCCGGGCAGGGTGCCGGGGACACCGTGGAACGCAGTACCAGACTCTTAGAAGCTGTCGAGTGACGATAAATTGAATAAATGAATGACTGGCTTCTGCCATACATTGAATGACCCTTTACTTGCCAAATTAAAACCTGCATCTTTCTCCCCCGTTGGGGTCAGCCATGTCCAGCTGGGAGGAAGCTGGCTCCCGGGGGAAGCGCCTGCGTTCCCAGGCCTGAGGAGGATGGAAGGGCGCCACTTGTCCCAGAACCCAGGGGCCCACAGGTGCCTGGGGCTGCTTCACAAATCCTTTCTCAGCATTGTGGCCGCACACAATGATGGGAGCTTCCTGCCCGGGCCGGGGGGATATTGAAAAGGCTGGACTTGGGCAGTAACACAGCACAGGACGTGGGGCCCTGAGACCCCACAGCCCCGGCCACAGCTCAGCTCACAGACTGTGGAGTCAAACAGCCTGGTTTCCAATGCAGACCATTGACTAGCCACCTGACCTTGGCTAGTGAGCCACAGCTGGGTGCACCGTGGCCTCCCTGTGAGCAGGCAAATGTGTGGGGTCAGTAAGTGTTTGTTTGCCACATGAGCCTCCATTTCTTCATCTGTAAAATGGGGATAATGCGTGGCTAGAGCATGTGAAGGATCACATCAAATCCTCTTTCTAGCGAGGTGAATGCTGAGCACATAGTGCGTGCTCGGCGGATGGTGGTGGTGGTGCTTTTGCTTGGCGCGAAGGGGATGGAGGCAGCCTCCTGACTGAAGTGCCTGGGCTTGCACCAGGCAGCACGGGGCGTCCCCTGCGTCTGGCACTGGCTGTGGGCGGCTGGGAGAGGGGCCCAGAAGGACTCCCTTGGTCAGAGAGCTGGGGCGAGGCCCGTGGGGGGGTGGAGAGAGTGGGGATGTCGAAAAAGAAACCACAGGGGCCTGCACTGTGGAGGGCGGGCCTGCCAGGTGTGTCGTTCAGCTGTGTAGGCAAGACCGAAAGTGAAAGGGAAACTCGCCACGGTGTGTCTAGGTGACAGTTTCCACCTCCGCCCAGACTAGACCGTAATTACCAGGCTTTAGCTACAAGCGTTCTTAGGAAAATGTGGGCCATGAACTCAGACTTTGTTTTCTCTCCTCCCTTCTGCTCCCCCTGCAGGTGACCTGGTGTCCCGAGCCATGCACCACATGCAGGGGCGCCGCCCCCTGTGTCCTGGCTCCAGCCCTGCCCGTCAGGCCCGCCAGCCTCCCCAGCCCATCACCTGGTCCCCCGACGCCCTCCACACGCTCTACTACTTCCTGAGGTGCCCACAGATGGAGTCCATGGAGAACCCCAACCTGGACCCCCCGAGAATGGCCCTGAACAATGAGCGGTAGGGATCTTCCTTGGGCTGCGCACCTGGTGGGCCAGGTGCCTGTGTGTGTGGACTGACCTGTGGCTGCCTCCCTGCCTATGAGGAGGAGGCTGGCACCGAGGG